TCCATTTGAATATTATATCAGCTCAGTATTAGTAGCAGTGTAGCATAGTAGTTCTTTCTCTTATTTTCGTACGAACGGTCATAAATCTGGTTTTATTAGGTCGATCTTGGAACTAAATATTTTAACCATAAATAATGTATGATACTTTTATAAATTTTATTATTCTGTTTAATTTCTACGTAATTAATTTTCGAGTCAGTTAAAATTATTGTATCGTTAAAATTTAGTTAGGAAGTTGTTAAAACAGTTGTTTGTTTTCTGTTAGATGCAAAACATCGTTATAGATAAACTGTAAGTGAGTAGATGAAGTGTGTTCAATCTTAAACTCAAAAGACTGAATGCAATTAGCAATCAGTATGGGGAAGTCGTTATGATTTCCGAGTTTCCTCATCTCTACTATTTTGTTTCTCCTTTTATCTTACTCTAATTTCTTTTGTTCCTCATCTACAATCTGAAATCAATAGTTAATGTCTAAAACTCTTCAAAAATAGTATTAAAGCAGTTCAACTCCGAAGAAACACAAACAATTCTTGTTTTGATGGCAATAAACAAAGATAAATCGACACCGTTCAATGAACAGAGAATGTAACAAATTGGTAAATCGGGCAAAAATCTCAATTAAAAACTCAATAAGTTTGTTTGAAATGTACAAAATGCAAAAGCAGAATCAACTCCAAATTTGATCAGAAACTCGATCACATCCTGGAGTTACAGAAATGCTCCAATTTCGTATGTGCTCTAGTGAGTATTTAGACTCAGTCAAACTTAACTAATAAAGGCATTTTGCCCATACCAAGAGTGCAAGAGACTTGCGGAAGTAGTAATATCAATCAACACCAGAGCGCCAATTAGAATAATGTACCAAATGTTAAAATTCATATTTTTAGCAAAGTTTAACCTATGAACCGAATTTAAAAATGTGTAAGATATTCTTCGATGCATTGAATTCTAAACAAGCAGCAAGTTGAGACGACGACTCTAGCATTGGAAAATGAGGTTAATATACACGGAAAGTGAAAAGATAATTCAATAAGAAAGAAATTAGGTATAAATAAATAATAAAAAAAAAACACTTAATACACCAACTGTTTGTGAAAGTGGGCTACCAAATAAAGAGATGAAATATAGTGCAATCGGTGAATTGAAAGACCAAGTGCTGGTTTTGCAGTAATTTCTCAACTTAAACCCAAACAACTCGAGCAGAATCAAGAAATGAATGAGCAGAAGAATATATGTCAGAAAACAAAGGAAAACTTTAAGATACGAGATCACGCAATATAGCTTATTAGCCCATAATAGAAAAATTAATTAATATCTAATCTTATAATAGAGATTGTGCTAAAAAAGACATATATTATGTTCTTAATTTTTAATTAATTATTTATTTTTATGAATACAATACGAATTTATTTTTAAAAAATTAAAAAAAAAAAAAAATTGATGCACCAAATGGACCCATCATATATAATACATAAACATATGCAATCTGATTGAAATTGTTGATATCTTTCTTTCTCCCCAAGAAAAATTTTGGTCATAGCACTGGATGTGGTCCTTTAATTGCATTAAAATAAGCTGAAAACAAATTAAAATAATTAAAAAAAAAAACGTAAAAAGAGAATTTTGACTCGAACAAAAGGCATGAATATTCTGGTTTGTGATATGAATATGAAGCTTTTTCAAAGGAAATGTCCAAATTAACTGCCTAAAAATAAAAAAAATAAAAAAAAATTTTAAAAAATAAATAAATATAACGACCACGTGAATATTCTGTACTGGTACCTCGCCACATACCATATATATCGTTGAGCATTCACACAGGGGTAATTTCGTCACTTTACAATTTCCCAACCCGGACCCGAATAACGCTCGGTTCAATCAAAACGCGGGTAACCCGAATCCGAACCGTGTGAGCTGCACGCGCACGCCAAGCCAAAGAACGGGATGGCGCTCAAAAATGAAATTCTTTTGCTTGACGAAACTACCCGTATTTTTTTGACTTAATGACGTTTACACCCCTCGTGGGGCCTCTCACAGTTTACGTCAATCCTTATCCGGTATTCTGGACATTATTGTCAAATGAAAATAATATTCCTGTAATATGCAAGTGGTTGAGGGGGTATTTATGTAATTCAATTCGGATCGATATCATATCAAGGTGGGGACCACCCCTTTCCCCACCACAACCAAGCATTTCTTTCGTTTCTCTTTTTTTTATTATTTTTTATTTTCGCAAATAAAATTTAAAAATCATTATCTTCATAAAATATTCTTAATAAAATAATTGTTTTATTATTTGTTTAATACATATTTGGTTTCTTCTCTTTCGCTGCTTCTGCGGAATCCTCTCTCTCGTGGCTTCACCAGTAATCCAAAATTCTTCTCTCTCTAGAACTCTCTGCATTTGTTTCTTCGTTTTCTCTTTTTTCCCGACGAAATTGCTTACACATTGGTGATTTTCGAAGCCTATCAATCAGATCTTTATTCCCTCTGGTTCCATCTGTCAGGCGTCAATGGTGAGCATGATCTTCATCGATTTTCCATTCTATTTGTTTGCACGGTCACATGATTTCTGAATTTTTAATTTTGCGTTTCTCTGTGGAAATTGTGAGCTGTTGTCAGCTGTGTATCCAAATGCAGTTGGAGTTTCCAGCTTCATGCTCTGTTTGTTTGGTTTCCAAGGATGTGAAGAAAAAAATAACTGAGCGTTTTCTTTTCTTTCTTTGTTGCTTTGCATCATGAAACTAAAATTGAGGAAAAATGGATGGGACCTAGTCAGTTGAGATAAATGGTTGAATTAGTCTTCTCTAGTGAAAGGTGTAACGCAGGTGGCTGTCTGCTTCAGATTTGTATTCCCTGTCTCCTCTCTTTTTATCAATTTTCTCAGTGATTTAACGGACAGCAAATGTTTTATGGACGAGTGGTATTTTTTTTCTCTGTATGTAATTGAACAGTTTGTTTATTTGGTTCCAGTGAGATAATTAAATAGCTTATAAAAAAGTTCAAGAATTTTGGTCTAGTCATGTTCCTTCCAGGTATCCAATCATTGTTTCCAGGATATTTGGATTTGGAAATTGAAGTATTCTTGTTTGATATTTTCGAAGTTGAGGACTGGAATCAGCAAGCTGGCAGCTTTTGTTGTCATGATCAGATCATATATTACCGTAATGGTTATTCTAACAAAAATCAATGGAGTGATGACTTTAAATCTGTTAGCTTCAATAGAATTTTTGTATGATCTAAGATTATTGGGTGGGACAATTAAAAAGCAACAGCTTTCCTTCCAATACACGACAAAGGGAAGAAATAAGATATTGATTTTCTCTTAAAGAATGAAGCTTGAGCCCTTTTCCCTTACTTTTCTGCATCTTTAGTCAGTGTCCTGGAGCTGGAAGAACTCACCTCCAAAGAGATGAGCCTAATTAATTCATTGTCGTTGAGGTGGATTTATTTGTTGATAAACAGCATAACATGAAAAACAAAGTTAATTTTTGGTCCTCTATTTTTCCTTATCAATTAAGTGCGAGGTGCAATAGCTGTAGCTCCACTATACAAAGGTTTCTCTAAGGACTGCAGACCGTGCCGATCTTGTATTGAAGCTTTTGTTCTATTGGTTTTCTTTGTTATTTTTTGTGTTTTTTATTTTATATAGGATAGTTTATTCCCCTCTAGGTTGTTTTTCCCATTTCTTCAATGAATATATCTCTTTTTCTATAAAAGAGGCTGTAGATCCATGTTATATTGTATATTGGTATTCTTCATATTTTGTCTTCATCCAAAAAAATTTGCTTTGCTGACTTTATTATTCCTTTTTGTTGTTTGTAGTTCTGCCCTAGTTTTTCTGCAGTGAGCATTGTCAAAGCTAATGTAAAGAAAATGGATTGATCTAAGTTAATTACTTCTTCTGCCGGACTCCCGGTTGAGGGCTCGTGGGCTGGTTGTTTTTAGATGATACTAGCTGATTGCAGCTGTAGGAGCTGCACAAAAGAATGTTGTCAATTTTTTGGCTGATATTCAGTCACTCCTACAATGAAAACTGGACACTTATCAACATCATACATTTCATGCCTCAGTTTAGCACTAAACTTCCTGTGCAAGCTAGTGATCAATATTGCTTTGATACAGTAAACACCTCTGTCTGGAGGTTGTTAGAAGTTCATTGACAACTTTTTGATTGTCATTGCTCCAATTTCAATAATGGAAAAGTTAGTTCCTCAGATTTCCTTTCAATATTCTGTTTGCAAATTTTGTCCAGCTTCTATTTGCTAGACTTATGGCATGTGTCTCCTGGTGTTCTTTTCACTCTTCCTCCTGCAGGTATAAAATTTTGGACGAGCTTGGAGATGGTACTTGTGGTAGTGTATATAAGGCCTTCAATATAGAAACATATGAAATTGTAAGGATTTGCATGCCCGAGTATCGGTTTTTTCTCTTTGTTTATCTGTTTACCTTTGTCTTTTAGTTCCCGTCCTTCATATTTGAACTTCTTCTGCGATCTCTTCTTTGGCCTACGGAGTGAGAACTTGGATGAGATGGGAACTTGGCCCTGATGCTTTTCCTAGTGAGGTTCAAGCTTGGACAAGAATTTATGGGCATATTTCCCAGCTTAAAGTTGTTTGGGATGTGCAACAATTCTCTGAATATTTCTAAGCATTAATGTATCCCTGGATCCTTACTGTTATGAACATTCATGAGCATCAATTTTCATGGGAAGATTGTGAGTTATTTTTGCAAAGTCCGTGTTCTCATATAAGAAGTCTTTTATTTTATTTGCGTATAGCAAAATTTTCCTGAACGTATAATCAGGGGTAAGCTAGTTCTATTGCTCAAAACTCTATCAACAGCATAGGTATTACAGAACATTTTTTCCAAGTATAGCTTAATGTTGATGTTAGATCTATATGTCGTTCATTTTGGCTGTAAACCAAATAGAGTTTTATTTGTTCTATATTATGAATTCTGTTCTATGCCTAATTCTAGGTTGCTGTCAAGAAAATGAAAAGAAAGTTCTATTTTTGGGAAGAATGTGTGAATCTACGAGAAGTTAAGGTTTGTTCTGTTGTATTCTTTGTGGGTTTAACATACTTACCTCATCAATATGTTACTATATCTTCTACACCTTGTGTTGATTGGCATTGGTGGGATTGTCTTTTATCAGGCCCTTCGTAAACTAAATCATCCCAATATCATAAAGTTGAAGGAGGTTGTCCGGGAAAACAATGAGCTGTTCTTCATTTTTGAATACATGGTAAAGAGCCTTTGCTGTTAATTTTTACTATTTTTATGTCGATTCTTTTTGTTACATGGCGTCCATACAAACTTTATTTGTTAGAAAGGTTTTAGTTTATTCTCTAGTATATAAAAAAGTAACTTAGATCAATTTAATTGTCTGGTGTGTAAGCAAATAGGGACACTGGATTTTTGACACTGTGAAGTGCTTTGATAGAGTGGAACAAGGTTATTCATTTCTGGACTGAAGTGTTCCGCTCCATATAAATCTTGACTTCCTAGGAGAAGTTTGGGGTTTCCATTCTTCTTCAACTAAATTGGACCTTATTGATTTGCTTTCTTGCAATCATTCAATTTTTTGTATGTTTTCAGTCCGCATTTTCTATTTAGTTGGTTGGGTACATCTTTTCCATAGTTGTTAAATTATTAAGTTATATAAATGCAGGACAAAAGAGGATGAATTTGGAATGACAGTTCAGTCGTTCTTTCACGTTTTCAGAAGAAAAAAAGTCTAATATCGGTTCTATGGATAACAAGATATATCATTTTCTGAATGCTACAGAAGCTCAATCCTCATGTGCTACATTATCTTACTACATGAAAATATGGTGGAGGGTTTCCGCGGGAACAATTCTGGGGAGGGCAAAAGAAAACTGCATTTCTGTTTGACTGAGTTTCAGGCTCTAGTTTGGTTATTCTTTGGTATAAAATGTAGAACTGACTTTTATAAGAAGTGCTAAGTATGGGTATAGATGCATGTTACTAGATTTTGATTTTGTTTTGAATGTTCATTTGAGGGTAAAGTGATGGCTAAAGTTTTCAAGTTAATGTGTATGTTAAGAGAGGAAGATATTAACAACTGAAAATTTCATCTTGGTTTCTGCAATGCTGTGTCATCAGCATAAGCGGAGGCATCTATATGCAGATGTATGGACTTTTGTTTTTAACTGGTCTCTCATGAATAACTTACATTTAGAGTTCTTTAGATGATATTGGCTAAAATAGGTCAGCTTCTCATTATTGATGCTCGTACTTCTTATTATCCATTCTCTCCATTTTGTTGGGACAGTAGTCTAAAAGTGGCTTGGAACTCATTTTAGGTTGGTTAATTTCTTTTTTATTTGTTAATGATCCTGCCGGAGGCCCGGAGCATAATATTTGGGCACATCTAGATTATGTGGTATCTGGATTGCGATGTATAGAGGCATAAATTTATCCATGAGTAATTTTTTTTTACTCATTTCCACTTGTATACATCTTGACTTGTCAATTCTGAATTGAGTGATCAGTGGCCAGAATTTCACTCAATTACTTGTAGGAATTGTTATCATCTTTTGAAGTTCATGGTTTAATGGAACTATATATCTTGCTTGGTCAGTCATTGATTTTGGATTTCTTATTAGGAATATAATCTTTACCAAATAATGAGGGAACGAGAAAGACCCTTTTCTGAGGCAGAGATAAGAAGTTTTATGTTTCAGATGCTACAAGGACTTGCTCACATGCATAAAAATGGATACTTTCATCGGGATTTAAAACCTGGTAAAGTTTTCAATTTTAACATTATTATATACTTCTCTGTTTCTTGGTTTGAAATCTCTATTAGAACTTCAAGGCACTTTTGCTTCTGTCACTTTATGCTCATAAATCCAGTATTTTGTTTCTTTTTAAAGAGAATTTGCTGGTGACAAATGATGTTCTTAAAATTGCTGACTTTGGACTGGCGAGAGAAGTTTCATCAATGCCTCCTTATACTGAATATGTTTCTACACGTTGGTGAGTGATCATCTACTCTGGTGTTATGGTTCATCCACCTTATATCTGAATGAACTCACAATACTACTGCAATCAGTCAATTAATTTCAATACTATTCAGATGGTATCGTATGTTATTTTTGTGCCAATTGTTTGCCAGGTACCGAGCTCCAGAAGTTTTGCTGCAGTCCTCAGTTTATACCCCTGCAATTGGTATAAATTATGTTCTAGCCCATTTAAGAACTTCATTAATTCTTAAAGTTTTCTAGCATGAATCGGCTTTACTCATCCCAAGTTAATTTGTTACAAGTTTTTCCTTCATAATCAACTGGCCTATGAATGAAGTAAGTTGAGATATTTAAATTTGAGCTTGACAAAGTTTTGATGTTTGAGCCTGTTCCTAATTCTTATTATTTTTAATTAATTTTTACATTCAGTTGTGAGAATTCTTTGTACTCTGAGGTAAAGTGCTCCTTAGTCATAATAAGTAAATTTAGAGTGCAATTAGTGTTGATTGTAATTTTTTTGTTAGAGTAAACTACAGGAGGGATTGCAAGAAAAGAGAAATTGATCCCAAATGTGAATAAGCATTTTCTATTTTAGGGGCAAAATGACATTTTTATAGAAAGCAAGTTTCTTTGAGTCTTTAGAAAAGCTAAGTTATTGATGTTATGAATAGTATGAACGATGGATTTGACATTGTTTAACTTGTTTTTTCACATGTTCATTTACTGGTCCACATTGGAATTTATGCTTCTTTGTCATGGCCTGAGGACTTGGATATGGTGTAGGGTATTCTAAGTGAAGTCTTGAAGCAAGCAAGCTGCATGCTTCCAGTTTTCTGGCTCATCTAAGATGATCTCCAAGTTTTTAGAAGAACTCTTTGGATTAATAGTTGATGATTTTATTTGTGATAATATGCATATTTATATGGAAACTAATTGGTTTATATCTTTATTACGATTACAGGAATTCAGTTTTAGTTCAATTCCTTAATCTAAATTTAAATGTGTAGTATAAGTTCCTGAAGAATTCTAACTCTTCTGGGTTCATTAAAGAAACTGACTTCATATCCAAGTACAAATTCGATCTCCTTCCTTTTGTTCTTGTCCATGGGTCCCACACTTATGTCTTTCCAGTAAATTTATCTTAAAGAACAGATTGTGGCCCCTCCTTTTTGCACAAAGTAACATTCCCTCATCATTAACTTGTGGACAAAATGACCCTGATATCCTTGTTTTGGGATGTAAAAGAAAAAAATGCTATTGACATGAAAAAGGTATGCAGGTAGTCTTTGAATATAATTATAGATTTTTATTTGATTTGTGAAGCTAAGGACATAGCAAATGTATGAAAATTTGGAACAGCATTCACTCTTGGGAATATCTATTAGGAAGCATAGTTGTGTTTTTTTTGTTGGGAAATATTGGTTTATGAAATATAATATGGACTATTTTGGAGGCATTTATGGATTTTCTATGTTGCGTTATGCTTTTGTTTTTCTTTTGTCGTCTGGTATACC